CTTACAAAAGCAAGACCTGGACACCGAACGAGGACGAGCAGTTCTGGGAGGAAGGCATGGACAATATCCAGATCTGCATCGACACGACCCACAGCTTCCGAGCGGCGCACCCGACGGGCACGAACCAGGAGACCCTGGCGAAGCTGGACAAGTTCTCGGGCCACAACCAGAAGAAGGCAGTGGGCATGCTGATCGCGTTCGCGGGCGGCAAGAAGTCTCGGTCGGCGGCGCCCAAGAAGGGGCGGAGAGGGTGGTGGGGCGAGAACTCCCGCGCTGGCGCCGCTGAGAGAGGAGGGGGCGATTGCATTGGCGAGGGAGATCTCGGAGTGCCAGAACCCCAGGGCCGAGTGCCAGACCGCGGCTGACGCGGACAAGTGCTTTCACGGCCCCCTCTCCGAAGGCATGAGCTCTGAGCTCTGAGGACGCCGCCCCCCGAGAGGCCCCCCCAGCGCAGATGGGCCAAGCAAGGGCGCCCAGTGACGGACAAGCGAAACGGCATCTCTCCGGCGAGGAAACGATAGCGGAGGCAATCAGCATGGATGTTGAGCGCCTCGCTAAGCTCCGACCCATGTCCCCAACGGCAGGGCGCGCCAAATGGCCCCGAGGTTTCGGGATGACCGGGAAGCGGAGTAGCAGAGAAACGCCCTGGGAAGAAGCCTCCCAGGCAGCAGCCAGACCCCCCACTCCAGTCAGTAGCCTACGTCTTGATTTGTGGCGACACGGCGTTTCTCAAGCTCTCCCTTGCCCCCCCATCTTCTCTACAGTTGCGGAGATGCGGACTGTCTGGGGGCCTTGGCATACTCTACAGACATCATGCACACAATGTAGCGATGAGTCAGGGACAATGGAGGGGGGGGTCAAGAATGGGCCCCGACTCCAGAACATTATGAGGTATCCTTGGGACCACTGGACACAGCCCATCTGCCCCCATCGATTACCATCGGCTCCCGCAACCAATCTGTCTCAACAACGGCCCAGGTGCGAACTGGCACTGGCGGGGTCATTTCGGAGTGCAGGACGCGGAGGGCTGCCCATGGCCTTCACGAGCAGCGACGAGCTTTGGCCACGTGGCTGGCGCGGCGAGGGGCACGGGTACTACAGGATGTTCGAGAACATCAGGGAGCACACCAAGAACAAGCCAGGACATGAAAAGGACTAAGGACGAAAAGGAAGTCAGTGGAAGACGGTGCGCATCGACTGCGGGTTGGCTCCCAGGCAAGAAGAGTGGATCGAGTGGAGCGACGAGGAGAAGCTTCGCCATGGATGGGGGTCAAAACATCACAAAGGAACTCGTGTGCCGCGAGCAGAAGCGGAAAGCCAAGGGCATCGCGTGGACGCCTCAATCCGTGGGGCAGACCAAGGCAGCGAAGGCGAAGCAAAAGAAGGACCCCAAAAGAAGTCACGCAACCAGAGAAACAAGAAGGTCACCGAGCGGTCCAAGGAGATGTCGGAGGCACTGTTGGAGGGCATCAACAAGAAAGGGGGTATCTTCGCATACTTCAGCAAGGCAAGAGAGCATATGCCGGATGCACTGAGATGCGCGGAATGAGTGCGACATTAGGCTGAACCAATACATGCTCACGGACGTGACAGACAAGGAGGCGCTGAGGACAGCCAAGCAGGAGCTAGAAGCGAAGGACAAGGAGCTGCACGGGCTCGGCGACTACAAGACGGCGAAGAACATGGGCGTGAGGCAGACACAATACCTCGAGGCGCTCGACTTCGTATACAGAAGTGGAGCGACAACTTGCAGCTGCTCCACGCGCGCAGGAGGAACACAGGCTGGGACGCAAACAAGGACTGTGCCTGCTCGTGCGGGCTGGCCTTCCCCAACAAGTTGTGGTGGTGAGGCCCCGGAGCTACCTCGAGGGGGAGCAGTGGAAGTTCTGGTGCAAAGTGGACCGGGAGGCGCTTCTGACGACACGTGGGAGCTTCCCCGAGGACGAGCTCGTGGAAGAATGGGTGGAAAAAATGGAGAAGGACTTCCACGAGGACTGCCGGCGGCAAGGCAAAGTTCCACCCGCATAAGCATGGGCCAGCTATGGTGGTGGAGCGCCACTTCGACTGGCTTGAAACTGTCCTCTCCACTGCTCGTGCAAACATCCCACCCTCCCACCCGCAACTTGGTCGCAAGACACTTTCAGACCACGACGGTGGATACCAAATGGCTCTGGGCGACGACAGCGACGCCGACGACGACAGCGACAACAACGTCGCCGACGACGACTACGACGACACCGACGACGGCTCCGACGACTTCGACGACGACGACGACGATGACGACGACGACGACGACGACGGCGGCGACACCGACGACGACAATGACGACGCCGACGACGGCGACGACGCCGACGCCGACGACGACGACGATGACGACGCCGACGACGACGACGGCGACGACGACGCCGACGACGATGACGACGCCGACGACGACGACGGCGACGACGACGACGACGATGACGACGACGACAACTACGGCGGCGACACCTACGACGACAATGACGACGCCGACGACGACGACGACGCCGATGCCGACGACGACGACGATGACGACGCCGACGACGCCGACGACGAGGACGAGGACGACGACGACGCGGACGACGACGACGCCGATGCCGACGACGACGACGCCGACGACGACGACGAAGACGACGACGACGACGTCACTAACGAAGACGACGACGACGAGTGAGGAGGGAGGACGACGACGGCGACAACGACAACGACGAGGGAGGAGGAAGGACGGCGACGACGCGAACGACGGAGAAGGAGGGAGGACGGCGACGTCGACGACGACAACGACGAGAGAGGAGGGAAGACGACGACGACGACGACGACGACGACGGCGACGAAATAGGAGGGACGACGACGAGACGCCGACGACGGACGACGACGACGACGAGGGAGGAGGAGGAAGGACGACCACGGCGACAACGACGACGGAAACGACCACGACGCCAAAGAGGACGACGACGACGACGAACACGAGGAAAGACAGGGGACGACGTAGGCGACGACGACGACGACAACGACGCGGGAGGAGGGAGGACGGCGACGACGACGACGACGACGACGCAAGAGCGCGCGCGCACGCTTTTGCTGATGTTTTTGTAGGTTTTTTGGACACATAATTTTGAAATCCTTCCGAAACCAATGAGTTTTGAAGGTTTTCGGCATACGCGCGCGACGACGCGCGCGTCTGCACTTCGTCCCATTTTTTGCAGGGGATTCTCGCGACGGCACACGCGCAAGGGCGTTCGACAGATTTCGACATGAGCGCGCGCGAAGCCTGTTTGGTTGTATTTTGTGAAAATCTTGAAAAACCTATGGCTTTCTTAAGATTTCGCAAGAGCTTTCGCGGAAGCTTTTTTAGCAACTCTGTGTTGCGAAACCCTGTGTGTTTGTACGTTTTTTGGGGAACTCGATTGCGAAATCCTTCCCGCCCCGGAGGTTTTTGAAAGATTTCCGCATGCGCGCGCGACGACGCGCGCGTGTGCACTTCGGCCTATTTTTTTGCAAGGGATTCGTGAAAAAGTGCTATGTTAGAACAAAAAATGTCACCGCAGAGTGTTTTTTTTTTTTTTTGACAAGGGAACCTCAGGGGGGGATACCGGTTTGGCTGGGATGATATGATTTCATATTTAGGATGGACGAGTGTGCAGAATATATATATATATATATATAAGTGAAATTAAATTATCCCAGGGGGAAGCGTTACGTCCGGGGGGGTAGAGTCTATTCTCTTCTTAGAAAGGAAAATCAAGGTGGGAGACAAGCGGGAAGCGCTCGTAGCTGAAAGGCTGCCACAAGCGCTCGACGACGCTATCAAAGGGAACCACTACGCGTTCTACGACGCGGCACAGAAGATGAGCCTTGAGGAAATATACGAACTGTAGAAGATGAGCCCCAAGTCAAGGGCTGCGCACTGATCGCAAAGTACCCAGTGGACATGTGGGAATCAGCAGGAAGGAAGCTCTTCTCGACGCGCAGCTGGTGCGAGCTTGCGTTGCGGATCTCGAAAAACGATTCGGAGAACCTCCAGATAGTCATGGAGGTAGCACTGAGGGAGCTGAAGGGCGCAACGAATCTCGATCAAGAGGAGGCCGAGAAGCCCAAGAAACGTCAGGAGCCCCGCGATAGCACGAAGACCCCGCTGGACGGCACCTTCGAGAGGTACGCCGAGTCAGGTAAAGCGGCTAGCTCTAGCGGTCGCGCGTGAGGGAGCCTACTTGCAAGACCAGGAGGAGCACTAGCGGGGATATCTCGGAGTGTGACTTCAGGCAGACACGACGAGTGTGACCATCACTAGCCAGGACATCTCGGAGTGAGGACCCTTAGGAGAGAAGCTCGCACATCCAAACGTCTTGGTGCTTATTTTTGGGAGGAGGAGGAGGAGAAGGAAAAGGAGGAGGAGCAGGAGGAGGAGGAGAAGGAGGAGGAGGGGGACGAGGAGGAGGAGGAGGAGGAGGAGGAGGAGGAGGAGGAGGAAGGAGAGGAGAGGAGGAGGAGGAGAGGAGGAGAGGAGGAGGAGGAGGAGGAGGGAGGAGGATGTGGAGGAGGGGGATGAGGCTGGAGGGGGACGGGACTGGGCAAGCGCAGTCGCAAGATGCATGACGCCGCCTTTAATAACTAGTACCCCGTCCAGAATAGCGCTGCCCCGCGCCGAGGAACAGGACGGGGCGAGGGGGAGGAGGAGGAGGAGAGGGGGGAGGAGGGGAGGAGGAGGAGGAAAGGAGAGGAGAGGGAGGAGGAGGAGGAGGAGGAGGAGGAGGAGGAGGAGGAGGAGGAGGGAGAGGAGGAGGAGGAGGGGGAGGGGGAGGAGGAGGAGGGGAAGGGGAGGAGGAGGCGGAGGAGGAGGAGGAGGAGGAGACGGAGGAGGAGGAGGAGAGAGGAGAGGAGGAGGAGGAGGAGGAGGAGGAGGAGGAGGGGAGGAGGAGGGGGGAGGAGGTGGAGGAGGGGAGAGGGGAGGAGGAGCAGGAGAAGGCGGGGGCGGGGCGGTCCGCCGCGCCGCCGCCGAGGCCCCGGAGGTCTCCGCGCGGCGCCTGGGCGCGGAGTGTGGGCGGCACCCGCCCTGGCCACGCGGCGCGCGTCTCGCCGCCGCACTCCCCAGGGGTGTCTTTTGCTCTGGCGTGCTGCCTCGCGGCCCAGGCCACGAAGAGGGAGGAGGGGGAGGAGGGGGAGGAAGGAGGAGAGGGAGGAGGAGGAGGAGGAGGAGGAGGAGGAGGAGGAGGAGGAGGAGGAGGAGGAGGAGGAAGGAGGAGAGGGAGGAGGATGAGGAGGAGGAGGAGGAGGAGGAGGAGACGGAGGCGGAGGCAGAGGCGGAGGAGGAGCAGGAGGAGGAGGAGGAGGCAGCCCAAGCCACGAAGGGGAAGACATCCGCCCCCGCCCCCCCCCCCCACACACACACTCACACAGACACAGATTCACACAAACCATCCCATCACAAACACAAGCACAAGCGTAAACGCAAACGCAAAGAAACACACACACACACAAAAACACACACACACACACACAACATACAACACAAAAGTACACACACAAACACTACCACATACAAACACAAGCACAAACATTCACACACAACATACACAACGCACAAACACACACAAACCAAAACACAACACACACAAACAGACATACACACAGACGCGCACGGTTCTCGGGGCGGAAGAGAAGGGTAGGATAGCAAAGGGTAGAGCAGACAATCGGCTCACGCAGCTGGTTCGCCTGGCCCCTTCTGGCGTCGGGAGGGGCTTTTTGTTTACGTCGCGGCGCGACAGAGGCGATTCAGGAGGGGAAAGGACACACAGACACAATGAACCGTCGATCTCCAGGGAAATATTAGAAAACACTGAAAGTGTGGGGGAAGACGAATATACATAATATATTGATGACATATACATACAGATCGGGAATATTTAGATGTGTGTGTATTTACTTGTGTGTCCCTTGGCCCCTCTAGCAATACGCTCGCGCGTTCGGGTTGCCGTGGCGGCGCACGGCAGACTATTCGGCCGGCTGCAGGAGCGGGACATGGCAGGGAGGAGCGGCCGCAGCGGACAGGAGGGGGGAGAGGGCACGCACCGCGGCCCGGGACACGAAGGGGAACATGTCCGCAGCCGCGCCCCCCCCCAATGGATCGAGCTGCGATGGCTCCAGAGCTCAGACTGTTTGGGCCCACATAAGGTTACGTCGCGGGGTGGGTGGGTGGGTGGGTGGGTTGGCAGGCACATCACGTCGCACAGTCGTGCCCGGCCGCGCGAGTAGCGGAGCGACGCGCTAAGCCAAAGTCCCTGACCGTCGTCGTCGTCGTCGCCGTCGTCGTCGTCGGAGGAGGAGGACGAGGAGGAGGAGGAGGAAGTTCAGGGTTCCCCGAGGAGAGGGGAGAGAGGTTCCCGAGGCCGCCGTGCCAGCCGCACACTCGCGCCGTCGCGCGGCTACCCTAGCTCGGACTCCGACGAAGAGGAGGCGGGGGAGGAGGAATGGGAGGACACCGCGCCCCGCGGCGCGCGCGGCCCAAGGAGCTCACGGCGCCTGGCCAGCGCGCCGCACGGCAATCGGAGGGCCAACCGCACCGAATTCCACGAGGAGTGCGGCCCCGCCCCTGGAGAGAACATCCACCTCCTCCCGACGACGCAGCTCCTGCAGAATCAGCCGGTAGCGTATGAAGAGGGCGACCACGAATGCCAGATGCCGAAGCTGCTCGGCGTCCCCGCTCAGCAGCCCCAGCCGCCGCCGCACAGAGCTGGGCAGCGGTGCCTGCAGAACTCGCTCGGCCATCCGTCGCAGGTGTATGCACTCCCTGATGCAGTGCGTGATGTTGTCACTCCCTTTGGCTGGGCAGCCAAGCATGCAAGTCGTGCACCGCTGCATGCGCGTGCCTATCGGCCATGCCCTAACCCACGTTCGCAGCGCTGTGGTCGCCAACGACGGCGGCTGGATGCGCTCCCAGGAGGAGGAGGAGGAGGAGGAGGAGGAGGAGGAGGAGGAGGAGGAGGGGAGGAGGAGGAGAAGGAGGACGAGGAGGAGGAGGAGAAGGAGGATGAGGAGGAGGAGGGGAAGGAGGAGGAGGAGGAGGAGAAGGAGGAGGGGCAGGCGGCGGGATGGGGAGGGGAAGGGTGGGAGGACCATGGCTAAGGCTGAGCGCGGAAACGTTGGTGTCGATCTCGGCCAACGTCAATCTATCGTCGACTTGTGGATCATGCTCGCGAATCGGCGACGGCCAGCGTGGACCATGACCAAGATCGGCGTCGACAAGATCCCGCGAAATGCTGGCCATGGCCGTCGTGCTTCTCCACCCAAAAGGGGAGCAGGTACGAGAATGACGACGACGACGACGACAACGACGGCGACGGCGAGTACTGCGACGACAACAACCATCACAAAAACCATCCGATGTCTAGCTTGTTTTTGATCTGGGGCCCCCAGAGGTCCCAACCCTTTTCCCAGGGCTGGTTGTTCATCCCGAGGCGGTGTCTCACGTTTGCGCGGCCCAGCGAGGGCCCCCGGAGGCCGAATCCTGCCAGGAAACCCATGTCGTGATTTTGGTTACGACGCGGGCGCGTCTGGGGTCACGACGGCGACGGGAGGACTTCGAGCCGACCGCGGGCCAGCGCGCACGACCACGACCCTGAGACCCGACGCCACGACAGACATGTATAACATCGTAGACCACTCGACGAGAGCCCTGGACTGGACCCCAGCTTCCTGCGGCACGCCTCGCTCGAGCCGGATCAATACGTAAGGCCCACGGGGCCCGAAGCGAGGCAAAGTCGCCCGGTGTTGAAAGCTGCGGCGCCAGGATCCCCAGACCCCCGACGTCATGATTTTTCGATGGCATGGACCCCCAGAAGTCTGGACCCCTTGCCGGAAGCTGGTGCTTCATCCTGCATCGTTTTTCTGACGGCCCCGAGGCCCGGTCAGGGCCCTGGGACTCCCGCCCGGAACGGCGGAGGGCCGCCCGTCGTGACTTGTTCATGGCGCGGGGGGGGGCAGGGCCTCGAGGGACTTATGGCGACGGGGGCCTCCAGGGACTTCTGGCGCGAGGGGGCCTCCAGGGACTTATATGGCGCGAGGGGGCCTCGAGGGACCTCTGGCGCGAGGGGGCCTCGAGGGACTCCAGGGGCTTCTGACGCGAGGGGGCCTCGAGGGGCTTATGACGCGAGGGGGCCTCCCGGGACTTGTGGCGACGGCAAGACCGTGAGCCGGCCGCAGGCCCGCAGACGACGGGGGGTGCGATCCGCGGCCTGGTCCGCCTGCTCCTCCCACTCGGCGACGCGCGCTTGGAGCTCCTCGCGGCGGGCCGCCAGTGAACCGCAGGGCCTCCCCTCCCTCCCTCCCTCCTCCCTCCTCCCTCCTCCCCCTCCTCCTCCTCCCTCCTCCTCCTCCTCCTCCTCCCTCCTCCCTCCTCCCCCTCCCTCCTCCCTCCTCCATCCTTCCTCTCCTCCTCTCCTCCTCCTCTCCTCCTCCTCCTCCTCCTCCTCCCTCCTCCTCCTCCTCCCTCTTCCTTCCTCCTCCTCCTCCTCCTCCTCCGCATTATCCTTCTCCTGTTCCTTCTCCTCCTTCCTCCTCCCTCCTCCTCCCCTCCTCCTCCTCCCCTCCTCCCTCCTCCCTCCTCCCTCCATCCTCCTCCCTCCATCCTCCTCCCTCCCTCCTCCTCCCTCCCCTCCTCCTCCTCCTCCTCCTCCTCTTCCTCCTCCTCCTTCTCCTCCTCCTGTCTCCTCTGCCTCCTGCGCCTCCGTTGCCTCCTTTTCCTTCTCTTCACATTCTCTCCCCCTCATGGAGGCACTGGGCGTGGCCCCTCGAGTCGGCCGCGGAGCCCCGCCAGATTTAGCGAGCTCCCGCGGCGGGCCAACCACCGCCGCCCTGCCGGCGGAGGCTGGCCTGGGGGCGCGGCTGGCGGGCGAGGCGTCGCCGCCCGCGCCGTGCCCTCAGACCCTGGCGCTGCCATGTTTTCACAACTGGCGCTCTCGCCCGGTTTCGGGCCCTGGCTGCCCAAGGTCTGGCCCCCGTTGGCGGCGCGTCCCACAGGAAGCGTCCGCGCAGTCTACCACTGATCTGGCCTCTGGATCAGCACATGGTTTGGAGCCGGCTCCGCCCAGGGTGTTCTCACAGTCTGCCTGGGCCCTCAGAACTTGTCTGCTTTGACCCAGTCTGAGGCTGGTTTCGCCCGGGAGCCCCATGGTTCCGGCGTCCGAGCCTGTTCGGCTACTGGATGGGCAGCCGAACGGGCTCAGTTCAAGCAGGAACGAGGGGTTCGAGCTCGTGCGACAGCCATTCGTACGCCGCATGGGATCAGAAGGGAGCCCTCGAGAGGTCCTCGCAGTTTGCCCTTGGCATGGTCTTCGGGCGGGGTTCGCACAGGGCGCCCTAGGGCTCGGGGCCCGGCTCGGGCTGGACACCCCCAAGACAACTCCTAGACGTCCACAAGAGAACCCCAGGCGCTCCTTAGACGGCCGAACAGAAAATGCCCCCATACCCTTATGCTGCTCCCATCATGCTGAAGGAGCACATCCCAGAAATCAGTTCGAGAACCCAGAACAGTATCAAAAGAGTGTCTGAACGACAAGCTGCCCAAGTGCCGAACGAGTATCGCCCCCCAGGGCCCGACACCTGAAAGCTCTCCAGTTTCGGTACTCTGTCGGTGCACAAAATGATTCCTGGTTGTCGAGCCTGGTTGTCGAGGCTATAGTAGTCTGGAACATCAAAACCGTATCCGACCCTATCCTCCCTCTCCGCTCCCATGCTCCCGCGCCAGGCATTAACGTGCGCACCCCAGCAATAGATTGTGCTTCAGTTGTTGCATCAAATTTCGCAACACAATGCTCTGCTGCATGATACGTCGGGTCGTCTGACCCGCGCTGGATTTGAGTTTTGCCCGCGTCATGTCGACAGGGGCTCATATTTTGGCGCAAGAAGGACACCAGACAATAGGCTGTCGTGGAGAAGGCGGCGAAGACAAATGGAAGGTAACAATATAATTGTGATAATGAGAGATCCCCCGAAGCTCATCCTCCTACGAACCCTCCGTAAAAGTTGGCACCCCCTGCCCCAATGATTGGCTGGTCTTGCAAGCTGGCAGTCATGCTTGTGAGAGCCTCACATCTCTGGATGGTCACCTCGGCTGCCAGCAGGCATCGGTGCGAGCTTAAATTGCGTCGCGTCATGCGTTTCCTCTCATTCATCCTCCCTCTCCCCGTCTCATCCTACGCCTAGGTGCATGGAGGAGGAAGATGCCGAGGAGGGTGCGAGCGAGGACGAAGAGCAGGGGGAAACCGAGCTCCAGGATCATCATCGCGGATCTCCCGCCTCGGGCCCACATCCGCACAACATCGGCTTCCGAACCCCTCCTGGGGTGCATCCTGGCCCGCTTCCAGAAGGGGGACCGGCGGGCGCGGCGACGGGAAAGCCCCCAGGAGGCCCCCCCGAGCAGGACGAACGCCAGGGAGGGCCGCCGCGGCGTCGTCTGGACCTCCTCCGAGGATGCGGTCAGGAACTCTTGAGGAGGAGGAGGAGGAGGAGGCGGAGGAGGAGGAGGAGGAGGAGGAGGAGGAGGAGGATTGCTTCTCGCGTCGCGGGCGGCGGCCCCCGGCGGCACGGTGTGCCCTGCAAGGGGACGGCGTGTCGCTCCGCTCCGCGTGGCGGCAGGCCGGGGGATCAGCTCGGGGCGTAGACGCCTGGACATGGGGACGTGGCTTGTAAGCTGCTCCAATCTGACTACCTACCAGACCACCCCAACCCAACCCGAAGACCCGAATTTCGGGTTGGGGGGGGTAAGGGCTCCACATGTGTTTTTTCGATGTTTCCCGACCCCCCCCCCCACTGGAAATCGAGGGTAAATTTGAGCCTTCGGGTTGGGTTGGGGTGGTTTGGTGGGTGGTGACAATCGTGCTTGAGGGCCACTTCTCAGAAACACGTTCGAGCACCCGGGAAAGCGGGGAAGAGCGACACAGAGTCTGACGAGTATCGCCTCCCAGGGCCCGGAACGCGAACGCCCTCCAGTTTCGGTACTGCTTGGTGCTCGAAGCTCTTTCTGGCGATCAAGGCCAAAATAGGTCGTTAGCGTGCCGCGCGGAGGCGTGGTGGGCCAGACCCGGCGGAGCGACAGGTAAAACTTCTGACTTTACTCGGGGGAACAAGGAAGTACCCCCCTGTCCTGGATATCACCCCCCATGGCCCGTGGGATACGGAAGTTCGGGGACCAGGGGGGATAACAAACGTTTCCCTGGAGATCGCAGCATCAGGATGAAGATGAAGATGAAGATGATGATGATGATGATGATGATGATGATGATGATGATGATGATGATGATGATGATGATGATGATGATGATGATGATGATGATGATGATGATGATGATGATGATCCTCGACGCTCCATTGAACTGCTAAGGAAATCCTTCGGATTCTTTGCGAAATCCTTCTGAATCCTTAGAACTTCCATCGGACTCCTTTCAGAAATGCCCTACTCGGGGGAACAAGAGAGTACCGATATCGGATATCGCTACTCCCCACTCCACGGACCTCACCTCTCCTGGCGTGCGTTCTGACCAGAATCTCGAGGAGAGTCCAGCCGTGGCGACAAGAACCCTCCAGAATCCAACCAGGGCGACGAGAGCTCTCCAAGACGAGCAGCGGCATTGCTATATATATATACATACATACATACATACATACATGCATATATATATATATATATGTATGTATATATATATATACATATACATATATACATATATATATATATATCCTCTAGGCCGTCAGGCTTCGCGCCTCGCGCCCCGCGATGCGCGATGCGCGGCTCTCTCCGCGCCCTCGCGCCCCCGCGCGGCCGCCCTGGAGAAGGGCAAGGGCAGCGACTCGCGAAACGCCATGACCTTCGCGCCCCCACGGGTGACCCACACCGGGCGCTTCCTGACCTCTCCCGGCGTGCGCTCGGACAAGAAGCTCGACAAAAAATCTAGCCGTGGCGACGAGACCTCTCCAGGAGGAGCAGCCCTATTGGTACCTGCTCCTCCTCCTCCTCCTCATCATCCTCCTCCTCCTCCTGCTCCTGCTCCTGCTCCTCCTCATGTTGCCTCCTCCTCCTCCTCTTCCTCCTCCTCCTCCTCCTCCTCCTCCTCCTCCTCCAGCCCTCCTTCCCCCACCCTTGCGGGCTCCCTGCTTCCGCCGCGAACTCTCACAGAAACCACATCGCCTCGCGCCGCGGCGCCGGGGCCGCGCACGGCCCAGGCGCCCGCGCCCGCCGCCCCGCGGGCGGCCGGGCCAGCAGCCAGGCCGCGCCCATCGACGAGCCGGACAGCGCGGCACCCCCGCCACCCGCCGGCCTCGCCGCCGGCTCCTCGAGGGGAGCAGAAGAGAAGCAACGACGTCGACGCAGAGCCCCGGAGGTCCGCGCGGAGTTCTCCGATCGGCGCTGGGCCCCGCTCGCTGGCGAGCGGAGCGCGCCAGGGGGCCCCGGCCAGCGCCGACCCGAGGAATCTGCGCGGGTTTCCGAGCTTCTGCGCGGGTGTCCGAGCTTCTAGGTGCATGCCATCGTTTGTTCCCCTCTCCTTGACGTACGCCGCGGTGCGCCTGAGGCCAGACGCGTGGCTCACGGCCGCCGCGGGCAGGTCGCTGCCAATGCAGCGCGTGAAGGCGGGTCTCGTCGGAGGAGGGCCATGTCGCGAGGCGGCGGCGGCCCTGCTCCCTGCCGCTCCTGGTGCTGCCTGTGAGCCTCCTAGGGGGCCCGTCTCGTCGCCGCGGCCGCGCTCGTTTCGTACCCGTCTGGGGAGACAGAGCTCGACCTACCTGTGACCCAAGCTGAGTGATACGTAGCTCATCGTAGTTTCCTATAGCCTGGGCAAGGTCACGCGTAACCCAGCTGAATTGCAAATACCTCAGCCCAGTTACCTGCAACTGTTCGCGCCATAATGTCGTGGGGGGCCCAGGGGCCGATTTGGAGCCGACTCTTTTCGTGGGGGGGGGGGCGGCAGAGGAGTGCGCCACAACCAAATGTCCACGCAGTCGAACTACTCGACCCTGTCAATCGCGGGAGCCTGGAGCGGACAAACGTGGCGAAGGCGTGCGATTCTGATGGTCCACACTGGCACCGAGCACAGGGGCCGGAGAGCCGCCGCTGCCTCGACTGGCCCTCCTCCGGGTCTGCTCGCAAAGGTGAAGCACTTGCACTTGTCGCTGGCGTCGCACAGCCGCCTGCACTCGCCGAGGGGGTCCGCCTGGAACGCATCCGGCCACTGGCAGCTGCTCCTGGCGTTTGCCATGGGCGTGGGCGGCGAGCCCAGCTCCCCCGAGTCGCCGAGAGCTGTCTCGTCACACCGGACGTTCATGCCGTCAACCAGATGCCCGTCGCCCACCACGTGGCACTCCGAGTCTGGGATGAAGCGGAAGTCCGCGACCATCGCGTCGGGCTCGGCTCCCTCCTGGCGGCCACGCGTGGCGCGCGCCAGGCTCACGGGCGGCCCTGCTGGCCCGAGCACAAGCGGCTGTCAGGGATTTGGATGAGCCTGCCCGAGCGGCTGTGGAGGATCCGGGTAAGCCTTTGACGCTGTGTTTTGAAATTCAGATAAGCAGCTGTTTTTGTTATATGACATGCAATACACTTCGTCTTCCGACTTCGAAGAACCGTCTTCTCATTTTCTCGATTTTTGCAACAAATGTTGAACAAGAAATCGTGCCGATGGATGGGAGCCCCTTCCCGCGCTGACCGAAGAGAGCAGAAGCGCCAGCGCGGAACCAGAGAAGTCTTCCGACACCGAGACCTGTTGGCACTCCTTGGGGGCGCACGGCTGTGAGAGATGCTGCTTGGCGGCTGCCTTGTCCTCTTTGTGCTGTCTCTTGTCTCTCTGTCTCTCCTGTCTTGTCTCCACTCTGGTGTCTACTGGGGGGGCCCCTGGCGTCAAAGAGAAGACACTGGTGGCATGCGTGCCCAGAAGCCCGGAGGCCCCATCGTTCAGCTGGGCCGACGAGGGGGCCGATAGCATACAAAACGAGCGCCTCCCTTCAACCCCTGCACCACCACCGCCCTCGCCCCTCCTCCTGGAGGTGGGGGGAATGTTGGTGATGATGTGTACGATGGTCCCCGCGGAGGCAGCACGCCCCGAGGGAGGGAGGCAGATGGCGCGCGCGAAAGCATGTTCGAGACGGGAATCCCGTGCACATAGCTAGTGCAAGTCACTTGCCAGCCTTCTCGGAAGGCAGAAGGCTTCTCAGAGAGGGGCTGGCTTCTGAACAATCGTGCTCCCCACAGCCGCAAGGGGCCATCTTCGAGAGCTGGCCCTTCGACCCTGGACCCGTGCGCCCGTCACGCATGCGGCACAAGCGGCACTCCCGGAGTCCAGCGACCTAATGCCATCCCTGTCATCCTCGCCAGCGTTCCGCCGCCGTCCTCCTCGTCTCACGCCTGATACTCTGCCTCTTCCTGTTCCGCCTCCTGCTCGTCGTTCTCCTCCTCCTCCTCCTCCTCCTCCTCCTCCTCCTCCTCCTCCTCCTCCTCCTCGTGGTCCTCCTCCTCCTCCTCCTCCTCCTGCTCCTCCTGCTCCTCCTCCTCCTCCTCCTCCACGACGAGGCGTCAACATCCTTCATCGAGCTGGTGCCGCAAGGCTGCCATGGGGCCCCTTCGCGCTGCTGTCGAGGCCAGCTGGGGCTCCACAGGAGCATCGCGGCAGCAGCTCGCCGGCACCCGCCAAGGGGCGACTGCGCCGCCTCGGGCGCCCGGAGAACTTGGGAGGCCGGGGGCAGTCTCCGGCGGGCCCAGGATGCCGCCTCTCGCACCTCCCCCCCGTCCTCTCCCTGCCCCGACCCCCTCGACCCCATTCTCCCTTCCTCCTGGGGGGGGAGGCCACGCCCGAGCAGGGTACGGAATGGATGTGCCCGATGCCCAAAACAGCAAACGTCGCCCCAGCCCAGCAGCGGCCGCTGTCGGGACGCCCACGTCCACGTCCGCCCCAACTTGCACAACGACGACCCCATGTTCAAAAAAATGGTCAGGAACTGCGGTTGGTCCTTGTCAGGGCTCGACCAGAACAGTGTTTCTCGTCTTCGTGTTATGTTCGTTTTCCTTCGTTGTGTTTTCCTTCACGTCGAGCTATGGTCCTTGTCCCCTTGCTCCCCGTACCCATGTCGACCCTCCCGGGCAGAGGGGAGCAGCTTCTGCCCTCCCGGACTATCCTCCAGCATCGTGGCGAACGTCTCGGGCATCGGAGGCAACACCGCCTGCGCGGGCAAGCGTCCAGCGAGGGCACAGCGGGGCTGGCACCCAAGAGAGAGCCCACCAGAGTACCCCCTGGGAGTGGGGCTCGCTGGTCAAAGCTCCCTCACCCAGACGTATCCCCCGTTTGACCCTCGAGCTCACAATCAGAAACTGAGCTTCGATGTGCGGGCGTTGAGGTTTGGAAGCCTCGGTCTTCCGAGGGGGGACCGACAGAAATAGCGAATAGGCGAACAATCTTCGGATATCGTGGACACGGGTAGGCATTCCCCCAGGTTGCGCGGTCAAGCTTGAAGTGGGAGGAGAGAGAAATCGTGGGGAAGAGGGACCGGTAGGGGAAGGAGGAAAGGCGTTCCCCTCTCCCCCTTCGAAAAGGCAGATAAAAAGAGCATGAGCCAGAAGACGAACAGCACGGAGAAACGCATAAGGACGAACTGCACTAGGCTAAGGAAGAATTGGGGATCCGTAAGTCCATCTAAATTTGCGTTACCCGTCTGGAAGCGGGTTCACTGAGCACCAGCAATCTGCATGCAAGGTCTACGCAAGAGGAAGGGCAGGAAGGGGGGATGTCCAAACCAGAAATAGGAGGGGCCAAGCCCGAACACTAAATTCTGGACACAGGAAGCCAGAACACAACGGCCAGACCCAGAACAGGCCGGGCCAAAACCAGAACACATAATGGCTACGACCAGAAGGCGAAAACGCCATTCTAGGGACACCCGCGGGAACGCTGCCGCCCCCCTGCCACAATTGCACTTCGTGTCCAAAAAGCCCGACCGCGGCGTTACCTGGAAAGACAGAGGACCGAAATCACATGTGACTGTACCCATTCAGCACGTAGCAACGCACGTGGGTGGAACACATACCATCCGACTCTCCTCCTCACGTGGGAACGCAGGGAACGAAACCGAGTCGAAACTCCTCTTCACGTGTCGGCCCAGAGTGGCGGACAAGCATGCCGTTGCGTTCTACTTGTCGCGCTGCAACGCAGGGAGGAGGGGAAAGCAATAGGCAGAACCACGCATGCCAGCACGCACAAACAAGGCGCGCCGCTGGTTCACCAGAACGGGCTGCCGTTCCTCTTCTGTGCCCCCCCCCTCCTCCTGCTGCTGCTACTGAGCACCCTCCTCCTCATCCGCCTCCTCCTCGCGCGTAGCTCTCGTCTGCCTCCTCCTCCTCATCCTGCCCATGACCCGCCCTGCCCTGCCCTGCCCGTCCTCCTCACCCTGCCCTGGGCCGCCCTGCGCGTGTTCCGCGTTCCCCGCGCCCGAACACGACCCAGCCGGGTGGTTCCCACTCGGGCCCGCGGAGACACGCTGAAAACAGCAAACTTGTCGGCTTTTGCTTCGCAGGCACTTGACGTTTCCTGCGCTCGTCACGTAGCATCGCTGGGGGGGGAGACAAGCAGTACTGTACCAGACATAATCGAAACGCGGGATCGCAAGGGGGAGCGGAGGGAAACAACCTCAAACTATGTGTCGCGTGACAGCGCAGATAAGCGGAACGCATGCCACTGCTCTCTACTCATCACGCGGCAACGAAGAAGGTCAGACAAATACCCTTTTCTACTTCAACATACAGGCCAGAACAAGAATAGCATCACCGGCAGGATGTGTCATTCGCAATCTTATCTCTCCCTCCTCCTCCTCCTCCTCCTCCTCCTCCTCCTCCTCCTCCTCATCCTTCTCCTGATTCCGCCACCACGCACTTCCCATCATCTTCCGACGCGCACCCAAGCTGCGTCGGCGATTTCCACTAGCACACCCTGGAGCAGAGAAAAACCATCATCACCGAACCACGCCGGCACACTCGTCAAAAACAACCCGTTCACCTCCGCTCTGCTTCGAGGTATTGTTTCTGATCCTCCTGATGCTGATCGTGTTCCTGCTCCTCCGCCTCCCCCCCCCTCCCTCCTCCTGCTACTCCTCTTCTTCACACACAACACGCTCTCTCTGTCTCTCTCTCTCTCTCTCCGTCCCTGTCCCCTCCCTCCTTCACCTCTACTTCCTCCTCCTCCTCCTTCTTCTTCCTCTTCTTCCTCCTCCTTCTCATCCTCCATCTGTTCGCCTGGCCTTATCACTCTCCTCCGCCACCCTGAGCCTCCCACTGCTCTGTCCCCGCCTTCTTTCTCATCCTCCTCATCAACTTCGTTTTTCGGCCTTCCTGGAGTTGACCAGCCCTGACCTGGTTTGCGCCAGGCTGCCCTACTTCAAGCCCCAGCCGCTCATGGTTCGGACTGGGCCGTTCCGCTGATGGGCCCCTGTTCCTAACATGGACCCCACCCAACAGCAGGGGCGAGAACATTTGTGTTGCTGTTTGTTTCCTCCTCTGGGTGGCGCCCAACGATGAATAACGATCAATAGTAAAGCCTGGGAGACAGCAGGGCTGTGTGGATAACCCGCGGTGAGCGAAAACAGTGATGCCGCGGGCAGCGTCTCAATTGAGATCGAAGACGGGTGTACCGAGGCCGATCGCGACCTCTAGAGCGGCTGTGGGAAGCCACCACGGCGTCGAGGGTGGCATGGGCTGGGTTGCGGCAGCGTCCACAATCCAGCCCATGCCCCCCCCAACTTGCTTTTGCCCCTTCGTCGCACGTGCCTGCAGTGCGCATCAAACGATGGTCGACGGGCCAAAACTTCCGACGACGGGACAATGCAGCGGACAGGAGGGTTCGGAATTCTGATGACGACGAGGCATCCCGACCCCTGTCCCTTCGGCCGACAGCGAGCCGACGACGGCACGGCCAGAAAAACCCAAAGTTGCGCGACATCGGAGCCACGCGAAGGATATTCGGCGGCGAGCCCGGGGGGAAATGAGAAGGAGAAGGCCTTCTCCGTAGGCTCGGAAGTCCCCAAGCAGCTTTTAGAGCCTTCCCCAAAGACGCAGACAGCTTTCCAGAGGGCGCGAATGCTTCTGAGAAGCCCCGCCGCCTTCAGAGAAGGCCTTCCCCTCCTCGCTTCCCCCCCCCTCTCTCGCCGCCGAGATATGGCGGGGGGGGATGCAGCTGGGATGTGGAGGGGGGGGCCTGGCGGGGGCGGGGCGGGCACGAGGCCTGGAACACACCCGAGCGGCGGCGCAGCGCCGGCCGCCGACTCCGCCCCCACACACGAGCCCGCGGGAGGCGAGCTCCGCTGACCGGCCCTGCCCCCCCCCCCAAACAAAAAGCCCCCCCACCCTCCCCGCCTGAGCGCCCGCGGGCCTCCCAGAGTCTTCCAGGGCGCCAGGGGCACCACCGGAGGGGCACCCCTCCCCTGATTGATCAAAGAGGGACCCCTC